GGAACGAACGTGTGGGCTGGTCGAGGGCCGAGGCGGGACGTGGGAGGAAGGGCGAGGAGGTCGAGGGAGGGGGTTGGGGGGCGTGGGGGGGGGGGGGTAGGGAGGGAACGGGGGCGGGGCGGTCACGTGCGCCGGAGGGGGCGAGGCCCCAAGCAGGCCCGGGAGCGATCGGAGTCCAGCAAAGTGACTGCACCGGGAGAGCACTCTTCCCGGACCGAGGGGCTGAGCGTGGCGGAAACGCCTTGGGAGACCTGCAGGCACCGGCGGCCGGGAAAGGGCTGAGACGTCCGCGACCGGCCTAGGGGATAGCGGTCAGGGACAGAGGAGGTCACAGCCAAGTGGGAGCAGAAGCCTGGGGCTGAGCCAGGGAGCCCCACTCGCGGCTTTTACTTAGGGTCCGGACTCCGTTTATTCTGGGGCGGACCAGGGCAAGTGCCACGTCAGCTCTAGGGGACCGGCCGAGGCCATTTGTCCCTTAAGTGTACCAGAGTCCTCAGCACCTGTCTAAAGCGCCAGGAGAGGCTGAGGTCATGGTGAATGAAGATCCCAACCAACAGGAGCGCGATGGCACCCCTTCGCAGTCGGCACTCGGAGAGAACCCCAGCGTCTCGGCCCACCCCAGCGTCTCAGCACACCCAAGCGTCTCCATCCACCCCAGCGTCTCTGTGTACCCCAGCAGTTCGGCCCACCCCAGTACCTTGGCTCAGCCCAGTGGCTTGGCCCATCCCGGTAGCTCGGACCCTGAGGACCTTAGCGTGATCAAAGTGAGCAAGCGCCGCTGGGCGGTGGTCCTGGTGTTTAGCTGCTACTCCATGTGCAACGCCTTCCAGTGGATCCAGTACGGTTCCATCAATAACATCTTCATGAACTTCTACGGGGTCAGTGCCTTTGCCATCGACTGGCTGTCCATGTGCTACATGCTGACCTACATCCCTCTGCTGCTGCCGGTGGCCTGGCTCCTGGAGAAATTCGGCCTGCGCACCATCGCCCTCACCGGCTCTGCTCTCAACTGCCTGGGGGCCTGGGTGAAGTTGGGCAGCCTGAAGCCACATCTCTTCCCCGTCACTGTACTGGGCCAGGTCATCTGCTCCGTGGCCCAGGTCTTCATCCTGGGTATGCCCTCCCGCATTGCTTCCGTCTGGTTCGGGGCTAATGAGGTGTCCACAGCCTGCTCCATAGCTGTCTTTGGCAATCAGGTGGGTAGAGGAGTTTGCAGTGTTCAAAGGAAGGGGCATCTTTGTGAGGCTGAGGGTTCATTGTATCCAACTCTGCCACTGTGTGGACACTGTAGTTTTCTGAATTCAGCAGTGTTTGTGACTCTGGGTGACTGTGGCTGGGCGTGACTGATAGTGTGAGTGAGTGATTGTGACTGGGTGACCGGGTAAGAGAAGTGGGAGAAACAAAAGGAGGAGATTTATTCTGTCACCCACAGTTTCTCCTTTGCCAGCAGAAAGCATGCTTCTGAAACACAGGCTGTTTTTATGATCTGATTCCTGAACTTTCTTCACCAGCTTGGACCTGTGGTTTCATGAAAGCTATTCTTTCTGCGGGCTCAGCCCCTGGGCGTCAGATATTCTGTGTCATCAGAATTTGGCAGGTGGTTTTTGCCTGTCCAACCAGGTTTCCTAGAGTGCAGCATCTCCTGCGCCACATGTAGTGGCAGAGCTGTGCCCTGATGATGTTTGGCAATGCTCTCACCTTCTTTTATGCTCAGCTGAAGCCAGGACAGTGGGGACAGTGTGCCAACCTCCTCCCCTGAGGGTTAGCGCCAAGTCCAGCAGGATGGAGTAGAAATCTTGCTCTGAATTTCCAAGGCCCAGAAACCTTGGAAAGGCCTGGGAAGCTCATATCTTAATCCTTTCTGTGTCTTCATTTTGGAAGGAGAAAAATTATTTTTATCTCAATGTGATTATGACCCAGAATGCTGGGCATGTTATGAATCTGATTGCCTTCTCCAAATATTTGAAGCAACTCTTTGTGGGGTCTCTTTATCTGGACCACTGCCTGGGCTCTCACTTCTTCCCAAGTGCATGCAGTTGTGGTTACACATTTAACAAATGACCAGTAACCCTTAGTTCTTAGTGGCCTATTTTCTCTTACCTGTTCCTTGCATTTTTTTGTTTAGAAAGTTCTTATTTGGGTCAGGAATTTCCGAGCTTCTCCAAAGACAAATTTTCTTTCTGTTCCATTTCACCACCAGGAAGGTAACTTGAGCTAAATTTTTGCAAGCCAGTAAGTCTTACCACTTGGGTAATAGTGTAAGCAGTCAGTCAAAGCATCAGACAGGCCTTCTTTAACACAAACAGGCAACATAGAATCCTTCACCTGGTTTTCTTTCACCTGTGGGTTTGAGTGTTCTAAAGACTGAATTGATTTGAGGGCTGCGGATGAGACAAATTGGATGTTTTTGTTCACGGCAAGTCAGAAATAGGTACTGGGGGTGACATTTACCAGCCCCCTATCCTTGAAGGTGATGTGATGGTGGATTTGAACATCTCTATTGAAGCTCTGCTGGCAGGTTTGACATTGTTGGTTTTTTCCTTTATAGGAGGGCTAAGCTGGGGAGTGATGGCAGGATTTTTCAAGCTTCCAGAGAGTTAAATCTCCTTATTCACAGCCCCAACAGGATTCAGACATTCCCAAAGCCATTGTTTGGGGAGGGCAGGAGAGCTAACCAGGCCCTCTGGTGGCTTGGTGAGATCAGAGAATTGAATACTTTTTTTAACTGTGGAGCAAAAACTAATACATTTTCAGACCTCCTCCTCACACACCTATGAGAGAACTTAACTCTACATATATCTTTACAATTTAGTAAGAATAATTACTCATTAACCACCCATACTCCCCACCCTGGTCAGAAAATGTTAAGAATTTTACACTTAAAAACACCCTGACAGTATATTTTTGTATCACGGAGACATCAATTTAATTTGGTCTTTTAGGCTTACCCACTGTGCTAACTTCAAAAAAAAAATGAGATTGGGAGGTATTGCTCAGTGGTAGAGCAATCCTTAACATGCACAAGGTCCTGGGTTCAATCCCCTGTACCTCCATTTAAAAAAATAATAAAAACAAAATAAACAAACCTGAATAACTCCCTCTGCAAAAAATTAAGTGGTAAAATAAAACAAATGAAACAAAACCAAAAATGATGAAAAGCTGAATTGTTCATGCTCCCTCACATAGAGATGACAGTGTTTGGTTCTTGGCTTGTGTTTTAACCTTTCTTTCTGAGTAAAGCATGTTGAATGGAGGAGAAATATTAACAGAACACCTTGAGCTTTGCTGCTTAGGAAAAAAAGGCTCCACAAAGCGATCTAAGTAGATCACACACATCCTTCCACAGAGTAACTCTTCGTGTCCCCAAACTTCACACTTAACAGCAAAACCCCTGTGCCCTGGTGATTCTGACCCCTCTCTCCTAGTGCTTCTGACCTGCTCCACAAGGCAGCAGCTTCTGCTTGCCTACATCCAACATTCATTCCTTCACGCATGCATTTACCCAGCTCTTGCCTTTGCTAGACACTGTGTTAGGGCTGCAAAGATTATCCATACCTTCGCAAAGTTTTTGTACCAGACACCAAAATTCGGATTAAGAAAAAAACACATACACACAACCAGATGACAGTATTGAGGATTTGTTTCCAGTTCTCCACAAGGTTTTTAGTATCTTCTCTGTGTAACGGTACGGGAAGATTGAAGGGGAAGGAAGCTAATCTCTATCGAACACTTATTATGTGCAAAGTACTTTTCTTTTTTTAGGGTGGGCTAATCTGGCTTTATTAGATAATCAGTACATACAAAATGAGCAAATGGAAACTAGCTACAGAATCCTGCCATGATGTGCAAAGTACTTTGTCATCCATTATTTTCCTTTTTCCAGCGCTTTGAGGTGGGGTGGGCAGATTTGCCCCTATTGTTACAGGTGAGGAACTTGAGACCCCAGTAAATGAAGGAACTTTATCCAGTGCCCTACAGGTGCTGAAAGCTGCAAACGATGTTTGAGGTAACTCCACCTCCAAAGCCCATGTCAGTGGGCCATTGTTGAGTCTTCATGTGGATGAAGCATATATTAAAAAAATAATAATACTAAGGCAGGATTTTGAGTTTCAAGTTTTAACTGTGTGTCTTGAGGGTTGTGGGTTGTCAGTGGTGATAGTGTCCAGTAGTTTCTCCTGAATTTGAAAGCTAGCACCTGCCATCTGTTTTGAAGCTCCAGGCACTGGGATTGCCTTTCACCGGCTGCCTTGCGGAGGGCTGGTTCTGGCTCTCTGAGCTCAGCAGGGAGAGCCTCAGGAAGGTGGGGCTCCCGGCTCTGGGGAAAAGAACCAGTGAGTCCTGAGCTGGGGTGAGAGAGGGCAGGGAGTCTTGGACCACAGCTGAGGTGCCTCCCTGTGTCCATGGCACAGGTGCTGACAGCCTGGCAGTGTTTAGCAACACTGGTTCCATTGTTTCCAGGGAAAATGATCTGTGCAGGGTTTGAGTGATGAGGACACATTGTTATTGAGCAAGGCTGGGAAGAGAGCCTTCTGTGAGAGTCTGGTGACGGCTTGGTGGCACAGGACGAGAGAGATGTGGGAGCCGGAAGAGAACTTCAAGGCAGCTGTGGCCCCAGTGAGGAGCCTCCCGCGCTGAGACCAGAAGGGACTTCCTCTAGGCCCCTTGGGCTACTCCTAGCACAGCACCACCCAGAAAAAGTCTAGAGAGAATAAGTTTGCTTTTCAAGGTAAAGAAAATACAGTGACCTTAAAGAATGAGTTTTGTAGCAGCCACAGCTGGGCTGTGGAAAATGTCCAGTAGAAATAGAATGAAAGCCACAGATGCATGCCACATATACAACTAAATTTTCTAGTAGCCACATTAAAAATAGGTAAAATGTAAATTTTTTAAAGTAAAAAGAACAAGTGAAATTAGTTGTAGTACTATATTTATCTCAATATATCCAAGTTATTATCTCAACATGTGATCAGTATAATAAAATTACTAGGAAGCTGTTTTTCATTCTTTTTTCACAGTGAGTCTTTGGAAATCAGCATGTATTTTACACTTAGAGACTAGCCACATTTCCCAGCAGGCCTGGAACACTGATGCTGTTTGTAGGGGAGGAAGAAGTTCCATTGACTCTCTTAGAGTCCCCATTTGAAAATTAAACTGATGGCAGTGGGGAGGTATAGCTCAGTGGTTGAGTGTATGCCTAGCCTGCAGGAGGTCCTGGGTTCAATCCCCAGTACCTCCATTAAATAAATAAATAAATAAATAAATAAATAAATAAATAAATGAATAAAACTAATTATCTCCCCCTGGGGAAAAAAAAGAAAAAAAATTAAACTGACAAAGTCAGATGAACAGGAGAAAATCATCCAGAACTAGTTAATATAAGTATTAGATGACAGGGAAGCCTTCATAAGACAATGAAGAAACGGTTAGACTTGTGCACTTTTGTGCCAGGTTTGATGGCGAGCGGACAGTCGTGGCGGGATAGGACAGGTTAAGGAGTGAGGTCACTGGTGAACTAGGGGAACCAAGCAAGGCCTGTTTGTCAGGAGTTTCAGAGGCACGTCCCTTTGCCTTCAGAGAGAAGGCTGCTCCCTTCATCTAGGTACAAGGAGGGAACCTCCCACAAGAGAATTTTAAGGCTTCTTTCGGGGAAGTAGAGGTGGAAGGAAAGGAGGTCAGAGTGACTTTCCTGTTTCTCAATTCTCTCAAACTCCTCCAGCTTAAAATATTCATTATGCCAAGGTGCCGTATTTGGGGATTGCGTGTCCTGAACCCCATCATATGTCAGGCATTTGGAAATCAGATTCTAGCAGATAAACATGGGCTCTGGGAAAGTGAGCCTGTCTGGGGGAGGTTGCATTTGCTGGGCTGGCTGATCACGTCTCACCCGGAGAGGCCAGGTATTTCTGAAGCTGACTCAAGAATCAAGGTCATGAGGCGGGTAGGCAGCCTCATCTTGTTTCAGATCATGGGCACTTACATGTGTTGAAGTCCAGGTTTATCGTTCTGGATGTTTGAATGTCAGAGACCTTTCAAGATCTGAGTGAAGTCTGGGGAGGTGAAGGCCAGCTCCTTTGCACTTTCGATGGTTATCATTGTCAAAGGACACAATGATAACCCACATGGCTGGTCCCTTGCTGGCCTCCCCTTCTGCACTGGGAGAGAGGACTAGGCAGGGGCTTAGGAGAATAGAGCGAGG